TAATTTAAAGTCCAAAAATACAACTTAACTATCAACCCCACACTCAACCAAGGAATTCCCAATTATCACTAGCTTTAGATGATCTAAATGTTGTGAACTACAAACACCACAAAATACAATCACATAAGAACCAAACTAATTCATGCTCTGCCTCCAAAGATAACACCTTCCATGTACTTTAGAGAGTTATTGTCCTATAAGGCTCACACGTATTTTAATCCCTCCTACCTTTTCATGTCATTACTAATTTTTTTACTCCATCTGTCTTTTCCTTCAAAGACTTACTATGTCATTCTCAATCAATCTTTAAGCAAAGTCATCTAATATAACTCATCAATTATTGTACCATGATCCTCCAATTATATTCTTTATGAATAATTCTTATAACCCAATTGTACAAAAATTAAGTCGTCACTTAAAATTTAATTCTACCCAAAGTAATACTAGCTAACTAGCCATATTGCTTCTAAACTACTATCAATAATCAAATACATGGTCATAAAACAACCTCTAATCCACTCAAAATAAAAATCACAATTTTTACTCATATTTCAAAATTGACACCAATTCTTATTTATTTTTATCATACTCCTCCAATTGATTGTGAGCATTGTACTATTTTATAGTCTCTTAGTCACCTTCATAGAAGATATATCCATCTCAAAGTTTTTACTATCAAACCAAAATTTTTAATCTTTTTTCAATTCTTAACCTCTCTATCAATTCCAATAACTTCACCTAACAAAAATTATATAAAGAAAGTCATAGTTGACCTTATCTCCAAGCAACAAAACTGAATTACCATACATGTTTGACTTCACAAAGTAAAGCAACTAAGGGTCAAGTAAAATAATGAAAATTGACATAACCTAAAAAATCGGCATACCTTGAAGTTTTTTACTTTCATACATTTTCAAACAAAACACACTAATATTCTCTATGACATCCAAAATTCATGATGCAAAAATAATTTCTTTGCCATCACACATGTCTTCTAACTATCTCCAATAGTGGCACACTCATTTCCCTGCAGCTCCCATATAAGACCTAATTCCTAAGCTCCGATACTAATTTGTCATGCCTCAAATTTCACAAAAGCGTGATTGAAAAAAATTATTTTGTTTATTTCAAAAACACATGCCGATTTGTTATAAAAACATATAAAAAAGTATCTCTTTAGTTAAATAAATTATTTTTTTGGAAAATTTTGGCAGAATTTTCTTTGAAAATGGGGCATCTAGATAATTGGTGAGAGTAACATGTGAGAGTATTAAACTTAATAATTATACTCAACTAGTTATTTACATCATATAAATCCCTTCTCATGATATCCACAAATAAGTCATTATCGTTTAATACTAAGGTGGCAAATGGAGGCCCATGAAATCCTCCCAAACTCGAGTTATAATCTAATTATCCAAAATTCTTCGTCATGAGCATAATATACAGTATATCTAAAATCTTTATAAGTAAACCATTTAAAAGGTCTCAATCTATACATATTCCCTCAAATTAACCAAGATATAAATCACTTACAAATCTTCAATAATATACATCATCGTACATTATTCTTTATATACTCTAACTAAATATATAAAAATTGTAACAATTATCTTTTGCCTCAATACTCCCACTATGCAGGCCACCAACATATGCCTATAACTGAAAATGTTAAATGATAGGGGTGAACAACCATATGCTCAATAGGATAATCATTTTTTTCAAGTATTTACAAAATTTTAAATACCAACATTTCACAAATCATACGAATAAGTAATGAAAACTTTCTATAATCTAGTATAGGAACAAGATAATAAGTAAAACATTTATAAAAATCTCTCAACACATCGTCATTAGAAATATACAATGTATAAATTAAAGGTTTACACATTTTAAGTCAAACCATCATATCAAATATCATGCATGTCTCGCATGCGGACAATATAAACAATCACACCGATTCACACCTGAACCATCCTCGGGGAACCTTTTGGGTCTTACACTCTAGGGTCTCATCACTCTTCTTGCTTTTCAAGAGGAACGTGTAGGGCATAATTTGTAACGTCACATAGGCCATCACCGAAAATCACTACCATAACTAATCCCCCTTAGGACTAGTAACCACCTTGACAACCCACTCAACAGGGCCCAACCGTCTACTAACCCTTTGTCTGTCAGTATCGAGCATACATTTATAAAAAATTATTATTTTCTATATCCATAAATCCTTTTAAAAACACATGTCATAACTTTGACATTTTATCAAACATATAGTAGGCTCAAATCTCAAAATTTGCATTTTCAAATCAACATAACTATTTCCCAGAGAATAAGTCATATATATTATATACACAATCATAACATACTTTAAAACCCCCAAATCATAAGTTTAATCAAATACTCATGACTAACATCAAACTAGGGTTTCAAACCCACAACACAAAAATCATTTTCATTTCTAAGAGAATAAGTCATATATATTATGTACAAGATCATAACATACTTCAAAATCCTCAAATCATAGGTTTAATCAAATACTTATAACTAAAATCAAACTAGGGTTTCAAACCCATAACCCTAAAATTATTTTTATGCACGTGGATTCACAATTCATGGTATACTCAACACTAAATCAAGGTTTATAACAAGTATTTGACCATCAAACACATAGTAAGATTTAGTTAAAGAAATTACATGAGGTGCACAATGTAAATGCAAGAGAGAGGAAAATTTCACCTAAGAATCAAGAATTCCAAGCTTAATCTCCAAGATTCTCAAGCCAAGTCTAAGCCATAGAGCCCTTATTTTATCTTCATTTCTCTTTCTCTCTCTAGTTCTAAGGTGGGTGGAGGAGTTTTGGGAGAGAGATATAAGAAAAATAAGAGAAATGGAGGTGAAAATGAGATTATAAAGGCTGAAATTCGTGCCGGGTGTTATTCATAGGACAAAAAAAATGTATTTTCTCTAAAATAATGGTTTTGCCCCAAAACTTCTCCTATTTGATCCGTATGACTATTTTAAGGTTTTTCGACGTTTCAGATCCATTTTTAATGTTATTTTAGGCTACAAATATTTATTTTTATGATTTCTATAAAGATCCAAGCCAAATTATATCCAAAATGTCAAATTTACAATTTTTACCTTTTTAAATCGTAATACCGACTAAATGTCTAACTCAACTTTGTTCTCTACTCTCGGATTCAATAGCAATATTATTTCGACCTACAAACTTTTAGAATGATTATTTAACTACTCTTTTAAAGCTTACATGCCTCCAACTCTATATTTGACCCAAAAGTCATTACGCGCAAGTTTAAACCTTGTGATTATTTTACGAATTACGCTTTGAAATTTTCAAGACCATTTTTTATTATGTTATAAAAATTATTAATGTATTGTGTGTGTGTATATATATATATTCCATCCCAAACACACTCTTCGTGGTTCAACAATCAACAATCCATAACATTTAACACAATCACAAATAACGAGATAATTGTACAAAAAATTTATAATGGGCATCAAGCAATTTAAAAGTGAAACAAAAAAAGGTGAAAATGTTACAAAAAATAAAGTGGATCATATTGTAGTAAATATTTATATTTCAAGACAAAAAACGATAATTTTTTTAAAAAATAAAATTATTAGTATATTATTTTAGTATTTATATTAAATTATTAAGGGCTCTATTTAACATGTTTGCTTAGGCCCCAATTTTCATTGGCCGCCTTGGAGTTTACATCTCATTTCTTGTTCATTAATTGAATCAGACTTGCGCTTGTAGGCTAGTATACATACCTTTGAGTTTAGTGGCTGACTTAATGGCTATTCACTTTGCTCTTAGACTTTAAGATTGCGAGTTCAGATCTCATTGTCCTCCCTATAATAGTGTCTGAACATATAAAAAAAGAACAATGTTATTATGACCTAATTTATTGACATAATTTGCTAATTTAATTCATTGGGTCTTTTAGATTCACTGTAAACCCCATCAAACATTAGAATTTGGTATTGATCTTATGATTTCTAAGAAGTCACATCATTATGTCAATAAATTAAGTTAAATTTTTAGGTCTAAACAGTNCCATCAAACATTAGAATTTGGTATTGATCTTATGATTTCTATGAAATCACATCATTATGTCAATAAATTTTAAATTTTTAGGTCTATTACGTATAAAAAAAAAGGACATTTCTTGTTTTTTCTTTTAAAAAGTAACATCAAAAACCAAGCTGCTGAATGAATATGCAACCCTGAAGCGTTTGCAAACGAAAAAAAGAGGCAAAAAAAAGGGCTGGCATTGATCTAAACTTCAATTATTTAATGTTCTAGTTCAATGTTTTATTTTATAAGTTTCTGGACTATTTGGGTAAAACGAGTGGAATCAATTCTTGAAGTACTAGTTTGACTACAAATTATATATAGTATCTTAAAACTAGTGAGATTGATATGTATTGCTCCATAGGTGTTGTCAAATATATGACAAGTTTTTGTTAAAGTTGATGTAACACAATTAATTGAGTATCGAAGCAACATTTTAAATGAGAAAGAAAAATCTGAGATTCAAAATTCATTGTTTCTATGACATTAAGGTCGCGAGTTGAAATTTCCTTATTCTTGTATTTGACCAAAATAAAAAATCTATCTCATTCGATTACCTAATCGAGTCTAGGGGTGCAATTTAGACGAATTTAACTTGGACAGTTCTCGAATTAAATATCTTGAGTTAAAGTCGGGTTCAAATTAAAAATTATATATATAAGGTTGACCTAGCGTTAATTATTCGGTCCATCCAACCCGTTCAGAGTTGCACCCTAATTGGGTCAGCTCGGACCATATAAAACCACAGAAAAAAAACAAGCGAAAAGGAGAATCAGAAAAAGTGTGGACGATGTCAGTTTTACCCTCATCTATTTGGCTTCCTGCTGTNGTCAGCTCGGACCATATAAAACCACAGAAAAAAAACAAGCGAAAAGGAGAATCAGAAAAAGTGTGGACGATGTCAGTTTTACCCTCATCTATTTGGCTTCCTGCTGTCTCTTCTCATTCCGAGTCGACTCGTCGTCGTTGTCGGACTCACCTGAATGATATCAGCTCGTGTTCATTGACTAGGCAGCAGCGACTCGGCGTCGACGCCATTGTTAAGTTCGGAGTTTTCCGAAAACAAACAACCTATCAGTGCTGCTTAGCTATGCCAGTTGAAGAGGGACCCACTTCATCATCGTCTCAGGTTTCTCTCTCTACTCTCACTCCGTTTGGTTGCCGATAAAACCGATCAAACTGAGGAAGAAAAAAGGAAAGATAATATAACAACTGCCAAAGCATTATACCTTATGAAAAGTTATCACGTGATCAAGTTATAATATCAAACTTTGAGGGTCTAACTTATATCTCACAGAATTAATCATAAAATTTATAACCGATCATGAAAAATATAATTTTTAAAGGTAAAGGGACGATTGATTATTTATGATCAATCACAGTATAGTTATAAATCTTGTGAGTGATGATGAATAATCATATCTTCTTTTGAGTACTTGACAAGTGGTATTTTTCTGTTGTTTTCTTCTGATTCTAATCTACTAAATTGTGTTCTTGAATTTAAGTTTTCTTATTTTCATTTGAGATTGAATCTGATTTTCAAGACTACTAAGGAATGGAATTTTAAAAAAATCTTAAAGTTAGGCATTTTAATATAGAATTTACATGAGTCCACTTGCATGAGGAAATTACTAGCGTCTCAGATGTGACTTGCTTAACGATATGGCTAATTATCTCCATTCATTTGTTTGTTTCTGCTTTCTGTCTCTGTACCACTGGTTTATCCCACAACAGTGTGCTCGTCAAAGACAGGGCACTCTTAAATGTCAACTGATTATCAGTTGCAGGATAGCTTGCTGTACTCCAGAGCATATTGGGTCACCAAATCAATAGTTGCTTGGAATGTGGAAGCTGCAGATGGTTCTTGTTATCTGTACGCCAGCAAGACTGCTGCGTTATATGTTGCAAATAATGGAATCGAAGGTTTGCACTTTGCACTTCAGTAATATTGCATTGTAGTAGTTTTGTTGATTCAATTTCAAGTAGAAAGTTTTATGCTTTGTTGGAGGAATCTCTTGTAGATATAGTTGTTGATATTTCCATGCAAACAGGCCACGATTTGAAAATTAAGCTCGAAGAAGATAGTGCTGGGCTTCCAGAAAATGTAAGACATTTTGTTTTCAGTTCTTCTTATGGATATTAAATTCATTTGTCAATTTATTACCAAGTGTTTTGTCCCTTTGTGGACTAGTATGACCACATTCTAATAGTTTACATTTAATTTCTTAGGTTTAGAAACTATTGCTTGGTTTTCAATTGCAGGTGAAGGAAAAGTTTCCTCATATTCGAGATTATAGAGCTTATAAGGTCCCTCTGGCTTTGGATGTCAAAAGTCTGCTCAAGTGCCAATTGGCTGTTGCTATCTTCAGTTGTAAGCATTTCATATATGTGTTCCATTCTTTGTCATTTGAGATAAGAGCTTTTCGAAGCCACGAGAAAGTAGGTGGCCTACATATTCCTCTGGATGAAGCTCTAACACACACCAATAATGCCTTTCGCATGTTGTATTGCTTTAGTACCTTGTTGATGAGAACCAAATTCGTCGTATTTCTTGCTTTTATTTTCCCCTATCATTTTGTTTGATGGGCTGCACATAATGCACTTGGTATCATAAATAGTGGCTTAAAGTAATTTATGCAAATGCATACATTAGCATGGTACTTATCTGGATTTGTATGGTGCATGCCATGTTTTCTGATTCTGAGCCATTTACATTATGTTTCCTTCTGTGTAGCTGATAGGAATTGCATAAATGCTACCGGTATGCAGTTACCTGGTGTTGTTGATGAATTATTCTCGTATAATGGACCCCTTGGCGCGGTTTTCTCAAACGGAGTTGTTTCACTTTACCTTTGGGCCCCTACTGCTCAAGTATATATTATTCTGTTTTTGTCACTTAGTTCTTGTATTACTATTTTCCTAGCATCGCTATTCCTTTACAGTTCCCATTGCTTCGTTCATGCATATTATCTATCTTTTACGTGTATCAACAGGTAGTACGTGCCTACATTTACAGGGATCCTTCAGGAAGTGATCCTCTAGAAATTCTTGAGCTTGAGGAGCTAAATGGGGTTTGGAATGCTAATGGACCCAGAAATTGGGAGGGCTGTTACTATGTTTATGAAGTCACTGTTTACCATCCTAGCACCTTGCAGATCCAAAAATGTGTTGCAAATGATCCATATTCTAGAGGGTATGCTGGTTGTCTTTCTAGCCAATAATTGTCTGAAACTACTTAAAGTAGTGTTACTTCCCAACTTTGTATATCATTGCTATTTACCAGCATGCGTCTATTCTTTCCGATGGACAAATGCCTGACTATGTTCATTTTGTTCCCTTGTTCGAGTAGGCTCTCAGCTAATGGAATGCGGACTTTGTTAGTGAATCTGGATTCTGATGCTTTAAAACCTGAAGGATGGGATAACTTGGCAGATGAGAAACCTGAGCTTTTTTCTTTCTCTGACATTAGTATATATGAGTTGCATATAAGAGACTTCAGGTATAGAGCAATATCTTCTTGTTCTTTCAGTATCTAGCCCTTAGAGAAACTTTACAAAATTTGGAGTTCAGCACATTTTTGGATCTTCTCAGGATTTTGAAGTGTAGATATTGGAGAGTTCTAGGATAAAGAGTAGAATCCTGACTCATGATTTTATATTTTGTATATCTAGAAATTGCAAGAAAGATCCTACCTACTTTAGAGTTCTCTCTTTTCCTCCTGTAAGAAGCATCCATATGGGGTTGAACCCCTTTGAAACAATTTTTCACTTTCTATTTTCTGAACATGTTTGGGAAGACTTAAGTTTATCGTTATAGTTTGCAGGTTGTTTTTAATAAGTATTTTCTAATTGATATGACAGTGCTAGTGACTCTACTGTGCATCCTGACTTTCGTGGTGGTTATCTTGCCTTTACTTCCCAGGTAGATGTTTTTTCATCCAGGCTAAAAACAAATTACCTCAAGGCCAACATTCCTAAATTTCTGCATATCATGGGGTGGGTTTTCATTTTCTGAGAAACTATTACTACATCTTCTTTGATCTATACCTCTGGTAGCCTGTAAACAACATTCTGAAGTCTGTAGTACATTGAAAGTCACTATTAAGAGCTCTGTTGCAAATGGTGCAAAATATCAAGTGAACTATTGCCTCTTGATATGCAACCACCTGTAATCAAGGGCAGCTATCAAGTCTAGTTGGTGACTTTCTGTTGAGAATCTGAATCTGTTGTTTGTTGACCATGAGTGGAGCTCAAACTTTTTCGTTGACAATTTTGGTTTTGGGAAAAATGGAAGTGAAAGACAATTGTGCTTGGCATGCANACTTTCTGTTGAGAATCTGAATCTGTTGTTTGTTGACCATGAGTGGAGCTCAAACTTTTTCATTGACAATTTTGGTTTTGGGAAAAATGGAAGTGAAAGACAATTGTGCTTGGCATGCATTTTAAGGCAGAACAATAGTTTAACCTTAAACTACCAATATTAGTGCAAAGCGCACCGGGACTATAGAAGAAGTGCGTGAACTGATAATATTTGCTTGGTTTGAGCTACACCCCTGATATGAACCCTCCTATAAGGTAGTGTAATGCCTGATAGTGCTGGGCATCCGGTCAGTGCATGCAGCTGATCCAAGAAGGTGTGGTTTTTTATTTGTCAGAAAAAAGGATCCAAATAACCAGTGATTAATATGCATAGCTCCCTAGTTGCTTCAGTCCGACCAGCTTGGTTGAAAGTGAAGGGCAGTGGAATGGAAGTTCCGTTCCTGCTCATTCATCTTATTGCCAGTGCCTTGGCCTTCCTTCTTCTAATGGAAAGGAGCGGCAGATAATGGGGAAACTTGTGTTCGCATTTCGAGTTTCGAGCTGTTACACCATAACCTAATGAAGAAAGAAAGAGGAAGAAGAGGTTGAGATCTTTGTCAGTTAGGGATGGGAACTCCTTTGAAAGTAGAGTTCATTGGTTTGGGTTTCGTCCATCTGGCAAATGATCTCGCATTCGAGTGAGTGAATAAGAACCTTTCTGACACGGATCAATAACCCCATCATGTTGGACTGAACCTTGACCTTACCTTTGGGATGAGTCCTAGTTTTGAACTGAACCTTTGTTTTGAACTTGTAGGCGAATCTTCCAACTTGGGGACTAGACCATTTGCCATTGGTGGCATGGAAAGGCGCTCCACACGAAAAAGAAAAGAAAGTGGGTAAGACGCCAAGCAAAGGTCTAGACATAGATTAAAGTGCCTAGTGTTTTTTTATGGGTTAATTTGATGAAGTTTCTTTTAGAGTATTGCTGGTAATGAAACTATATTGTCTGGTCTTGATTTTTCAATTATTGTGGCCTTTTTTCCTTGGGCCATTGGAGGGGCTGATGTCACACTACCATGCAAAACTGCCAACCAATGGTAGAAAAGGTGGTTTTTACCCTTTGTTTTAACATCCAACTCAAAATTAATTGGCAATGAGTGGAGAGACTCTTTAAGCATATAAATCAATATTAGGTGGTTCTTTCTAATCATTCGATATAGGATACAAGTTCTTTTTGCACCCTCCTTCACGTGGGACCCGGGCTTGGAGCTAACAAACAAGTATACGAATATGAATACCAAAAAATTTGGGCCCAACTCGGATAACATGTTAAAACATCTAACTCAACCAAAGTGGGGGGGGGGGGGG